CAAGATAAACAACCTTGAATAATGTTTAACAACAAAAAACTAGATAGATCTAAATTACTTGCAGTATCACAGTTTCCCAAGATATCTTACTCTCTTTTCCACTCACTACTTGTGACTAAGAGCCTTTTTTTAATTCTATTTTGTAAAATGTCATTATTTTTTTTAAGTTGGCCCAAAAATATATTTGAGCATGACCATGCTCTAAAAATGTAATATTAACAAAAACATGATGGTAAAGTTTCAGTTCATAGAACAATGAATTATCAAACTTAAGTTCTAAAGACAGAAAACTTTTAATAGTGGTTATTTCGAAGAGGAATACATTAACTAAGTTAGTTAAAAGCCACAAGTTCCATCCCACAATCTGTTACAAGTACAAATGTTGCTTTTTTTTAAACACAAGTACTAACCACACAAGTTTACTATAATAAACAAAGTTGAAGAGCTTAATAAAAGGAGAACATAAACAATAATAAGAATAGATTCTGAACACACATGCCACAAGGTTCTTTCAATGACATGAAAACTATTACAGTTGGTCCTGTAATGTTACAAAACAATACTGTACAAAGTATTTACACAAAATAAAAGTTTAAATATGCTGTCATTACTTGCATATAAATGATAAATGGTTATTACTTTTACTTTTTCGTGCTCACTATCAAGTCTATTTCATTTTCTTTTATTTCAGTTAAAACAGTCCCTTACAGACACTCATACCTGAAATTTTAAGTCCATTTTTCTTCCTCAAAGTAAAAAAAAACATAACCATTATAAGTAACTAAAACAGAAAAAACAAACAGATGTAATAGATAATAAGAGGAAAATTTACTAATTTTAATTTGTGAAAAAAAACAATAACAAACAAACTGTACCACGTGTAATTGTAATTTGAGATAATTGTTTTAAAAAACATATATATATATATATGAAACAAATTCAATAATTATTTTTTAATGTCCCAATATCAAAAATCTAACTGAAATTGTTCACATTTTGGAGTTAATTTTCCATTCAATAGTGTACACATTATTACATATAAAATCATTTCACTATTAAAGCACTTTTTAGTTCATCAATAGTAAAACATCCACATAAATAAGCTTTGATTGCAACATTTTTTAACACTTCACACATACTTTCATAAAGATTAAAACCAAACAATTTTCAATTAGTCATTAAAAAGAAGCCCCAACACTTATACTTCAGTGACAACAGCCAACATTTATACATACAAATGAACTAATGTAGAAAGTAAACCACTAATAATGCAGTAGTTCTTTTACTACAAACCCCAAGTAAAGTTTAGTGGCTTCATAAGAAACAGAAGCAAATGTAATCTTTAACTTTAATATGAGGATCATGAAAAGCTATTCATGCTAATACAATATTGTCACTAGTACCAATGGATAACATTTTTATAATAATACAACCATTTTACATCCATTTTGAATTATTGTTAAGGTTTGATCTCTACTGCATAGAGAAACTACTAATTACCTCAAATCCAGTTTCATTTTATTCTTGCAGCTACTGGAAAAATTTAACTTACTTGCACATGCATCCTTATGATGAAGAACACCTTGGGCTGGCACAACATGACATTTAGTAGTTTCTGTGAGAGATACCATCACAATAACACTGATAACTGAAATCATATCATTCTTTACTGTTTCGTAAAGGATTAATATAAATATCATTCCCACTATTTGTATATTTTAACAAAGCTGGCCTTATAAAACTCTGGTACCGAGTAAAAGGCTTCATTGGTAATGAATGACATATAACAAACTAGTTACAGTTAAAATTCTTCTTCATGGAAACTGTATTGGGCCAGTACAAAATGATGTCACCATTATCAGTGTTACTGTGATGTAATATCACACATATTGCTACTGACTCGCATCCTTGGTTCAGTACTAGTTACTACTGGATGAAGGACTATTCAAATAATGCTTGATTGCTAATATTTTGATCTTTGAATGTTGCGGTTTGGTATTATTATAGCCTTATGTTACGTATTGGAATATATTTTTTAAATTTCTAACTTGAGGTATTAAATAAAAAGTACTGAAATGTGCAATACATTCCATGTTAAATAAACAAATGTCTTAAAATATTTCATCAGTTTCACAAATATGCAGTAAAACTGTTAGTTGAGAAATCACATTTGAATTAACATATAGGTTCTGATGGAGCTACAAGTTTATAAATATAAGGAGAACATTGAATTTGTGAGATACTTCAGCTTTAGATTATCAACTAGTTAATCCAGCACTGAACTCTAACAAAGTCTTTAAACCAATCATTAATGTCTCACTCACATGTAACAGCTTGTCAGACTTAATCTATAATATTAACAAAACTTTTACAAATATACTTAAATATTCATATAATTAATATGTACATAAGTGACAATCTTTCATATATTTTGAGCATAAAATTTCCATTTGATACAACTTGTATAAATGATGTACTAACCAGTAATACAAACTTCTTGAAAAGGTGTACAGAGAAATGGCGTAACTCCAATAATACAAGTAAATATGAGTGCATCACCAACTTTAAAAAAACTGTTTTTATCATGTATGATTTTTTTTAAATTCTACATTCATGAGAATACATTTAAATTTTGTGGCACTTGCATTTTAACTACTAACGTTAATGAATAATTTATGAGGTATAGAAATGAAATGAATGAAAATTTGTTTTTCATAGCTTCATAAAGAGTAAAAATTACATTCTTTTTATTTAAAGGAGGTTTGCTCTTTATAGAAAAGATTATTTCCTTTGTATTGACTTTTAGTGACTTACTGAACAACCTGAGGTGCACAGACATAAAAATATTAGTTTAATCTGGAAATATTTTGAGTAAAGGGGAGCCTCAGATTTCATTTTAGAGCACCTTAAAATCCTTCAGTTTCCAGGTTCCATTTAGGTCTGTGGCTCCTGCTTGTTTTCCTCCATCATGGGTGCAACTACTTTTATGGTGCAACCCCAACTTATGGAATTTGCCCTATGCACCTGATCATAGATAACACTGTAAATCATTATGTGTTTATGTGTGTATATATATATATATATATATATATATAT